CAAACTTTTCATTTTGATTTAACACATGGTATGTTTAATGGTTCCAGCACTTCTAATTCTTTTTAATAAGTGTTAAAAACTGAAAGATGGGTAGTGGCTAAAAATATATTGTAATACCTTAAACCTACCATTCCCTACCAATGGAAACAAAATGATGGCAATTAAAAGTAAAAAAAAAGATGATTAAAAGTTAAGATCTGAGAGGCTAAGAAGTCATGTTAGACTATCAATCGTTTTTATCATTGTGGGTAACTGGTTAGAAGTAAAAAATAAAAATCTAGTAGTTTAGTTGTGGTCCAGGAAACAGTCAGTGGGGACGGGGGAGGTTTCAGCGACATGCTGGTAGAAAAACAGAGACTTACATAGTCTGGGAGGGCAGTGAAATGGAGGGCGTGGCAACCTCGCTCACTTAGTGGTCATTTTTTGAGTTTCAATGACTTTTGTTTTCATTCTTTCGCCTAGTAAAGATGACAGAAGGTCCTAATTTATTATCTGAAATCTACTTCTGTTCCTAGATATAAGAGAGTTTAACTGTACACAGTCATATCATCCAAATACAAATACTTTGATTCAAAGAGATGTTCATGCATTCCATAGAATCACGACTACACCCTCAAAGCACAGCTCAGGATTCAGGGAGAAGACTCAGCTGCATAGCCTGGTCATTGCAAGGGCAGAAGCTTGGCTGGTTGTGGTTTCCTCAGAGTAATGCAATAGAGGAGAGGAGAAGAAAGCCCAAGAAAAGCTATTGTTTTCCCCAGCAATGCTCTGCTCCCCAGACTGTAGAAAAATGTCTGGATAAACATCTTGGGCAGTCTTCTGGGTGACAATGCTAGAAGAGCCTGTCAAAATACACATAAGACCAATGATAGGTGCGCTAGACTTCTGGTGCTTCCTGCCAAGAACAGTGCTCTCAATACTTTTGTCTAGTATGGCCTGGAGGGGTTGTCAGGGGTTAACATGCAATTAAAAGTATGGGTCTGTTAGCCAGGCATGGAGATACATGCCTGTATCCAGGAAGGAGAAACAGCAGGTTTGCCACAAGTTCAAGGCCACTTTGGCCTACATAGTGAGTTTGAGGACAGTCCATTCTACATAGGATGTGACAGCCAAAAGACTGGCATCAACTTCTGTGTCTGTAAATTATGCTAGCCCATAGTGTCTGACATTCCCTATTGCTGTCTGGCTGCTGGGCTGAAAGTGCCCAGAACACCTTTAGGAATGGACCAATGAGGAGGCAGTAGTCATTGAATTCTGTGAGGAGAACCACCTGGGTGGAGAAAGTTCTTAAAAAAGATCATTGGTGTATTTAAAGGCTAAAATGAGAGGGAACAAAACAAAAGAGACTTTTTATAAGAGGAAAGAGATTGAATGGGGGCACTAATCCTGATAAAAGGTCACACATTTAATGCTGAAGTCATCTTCTGGCTTTGGGAATGTTGCTGAGCAATGGGACCCCAGAGTTTGCATTTTAATTTATCATTGACAGAATCCCACACGTGCTCTAAGATGAATGACTTCCCATTTTCACACATTCTCAAGCAGAGTGTTTCATGGGTGTGTGACAGTCATAGCATTTTTTTCAAGTAACTCTAACTCTAGGGAAGGTACATAGTCAAATTGTACCTAAAAATTGACTAGGCAGATAGATATTTAACCAGTTTACATTTTCTTATGTTTATTTTGTAAAATTAGCCTGCTGTAAGAGACATTTTAAATATACTGAGGTTATTATTACTGCTATTGTTACTATCATTAAGCAGCAGGACAGAATCCCTTTAGTTCAATTAAAAATCATGAAAACTCAAGGTAGCATTAGCAGCCGAGTGTTGACTATGACTACTGTCTTTGGCTGATCTTGCTATGGGGGCGTTTGCAGACTGCTGTGGTGGCAGCACAGAAAGCACAGTTCTCTGAAGCGCAGCCACCAGTGTGCCACTCAGAGAGGCAGAGGTGCATTTCCAGAGAGCCCCATCCTTCCTACTCCGACTGAGAATGTGGGCACAGGAGCGGCTGCTCCAAGAGCAGGGATGTGCTTCCCTAGTCCAGGCCCACACAGCACACGTGGATGAGTACGGATGAAGTCAGCCTTGAGGAGAGGCCTGCCCTCCTGTAGTTCCCCTAGCTTTCTGCTCTGTAGGCGTGGGGCACATAGGCATGCCTGAAAAAATGCAGGGAGGTAGTGTGAGACTGATCTGGCAGGCTTGGTGAGAGTCAGTTATCCATCCCCGTAGGGTGTTGGCTTCTCTGAATTTATCAGGATAGGGGAGACTACCAAGTCCTCCAAACCTTGGTGTCTGTGTTCCCCAATGAGAAAGGGAAAATCTGACATGGACCCTGACATTCCCATTCCAGTGGTAGCAACTAAGCAATCTGTGAATCTCTCTCTCTCTCTCTCTCTCTCTCTCTCTCTCTCTCTCTCTCTCTCTCTCCTTTCCTCTCTCTCTTCTCCCCCCTCTCTCTCCCTCCCTACCCCTCTCTTTCCCCCCTCTCTTCCTTTTTATTTCCTTCTTTCGTGTGTGTGTGTGTGTGTGTGTGTGTGTGTGTGTGTCTGTCCTAGAACTCAATATGTAGATTAGGCTGGCCTCAAACTCAGAGATGGTGGAATTTAAGGCATGTGCCACCCAGCCTAGCTCATCCAGGAGTTTTCAAATGCATTACATGTATATGTTTTATGCAGTATTAAGACTGAGAGGGCTGGGTGGGGTAGGACCATGGTCAAGGTTTCTGCCACAGGCAATGTTTCTCATTCTTGTCTAAGGGGAAGTGGCCCCTGCAAAGCAAGGCCACTATTGCTAGTGGACCTGACTTAAACCACGGATTCTCTCTGAGCTATCACTGCACAAATCCCTCCTTTTATTCTTCGAGTTTCTGTTTCATTCAAAGTCAGTTCTTTTTTCTCCAGCCTTGGTGTTCCGTATTCCTTCCTTTCCCGAACATGTTGCTCCTGCTAGCCTCTGCCCTAGTCCCTTTCATTGGTGGGACACTCGGGAAGGGATAATAATGTTTAAAACAAGTAAGAAAATAACTTTGCAAGAATTCATCTTATTATGATCATGCTTAGATGAAATATGGGGCTTGCCATCAGCAAAATTACAAAACAATTCCTCTGGGAGACCAAACCATTCCTAGTAATTCATCTATGAAAAAAAATGAACTTTAATTGTTACTCTTGGCAGCCGTCTAAGAGAAGAGTGAAATATTATACTAAATATTGCCACGTGCAATAGTAAAATACAATTTCCTCCTTGCCAGAAGCAGTGTACAGTTCCTTGAAATCCACGCTTGGGTCTGCTGATTTAGTTTAAATCCCCTGTTTTCCCCTCTCCAAAACCAACAGAGGATTTCCAAAGAGCCGAGTGCTTTATCAGAACCATTTGCTCCTTTTAAGTTGCCAAAAAAGAGTAAGTAAAACTGGGAAGTTGATTTGGGTTAAAGTTGACTCTTTAGCTTCATTGAGGTCATTGTCCTTTGTGAGTCCCCTCTGCTAAGAAGGTCCCTCTGGCCAAGGTTACATGTTGGTTCCTTTTTCCCCAATGCGTCTCATGGCTTTATCTAGTAGGACTTAGGAGCAGGCTGGCGCTAATTAACATGAAACATACATATGGCAAGTTACATTCTATTTTTTTAAGAACTGAAATTTCCAGTAACTTTCATATTGCCCATATGATTGCAATTTTGAGACTGGGACATATTCACATTGGCTTCCCAGAGAGGGATGGAAACAGGTGTTTACAGATTTTAGTATAAGGAGCACATTGACATGCTGTTCTGTGTAGCGCACAGCCAAGGGAATGACCACACTTGCAGAGCAGAGGGATACTCTTTTTCTAAGTATAGAGTGAATTATGCAAAAACATTAACTAACTGCTCATATGTGCTGAATACATGATGGATTCATGAGTCCGGGTTGAGGATGAGCTTACCACGAGCTATCTGCAAAGAATTTTTAAAGAATATACAATTTGGCATAAGTATCTGAGTTACCGGACATAGTATCCTAAGAGAATATTAAACTTTTATGTATTATATCATGTATGTATCATTCATATTCCATAATGTTTAAATGTAGATCTCTCAATGAATGGTTTACTCAGGATTACTCATCGTTTTTCTGTGGTCTGAGTACCAGAACTGCCACTGGTAACATATTCCCTATCTGTAGAATGTTGTTTTCTCCATAGAGGGATACATTATGATATAAAACTATTTGGGAAAAAATTTGAGACTGTAGTTGGATATAAAGTAATTATAGTTATAACTCCATAGATTAGAATTTAGGCCATTTGCAACTTGAGTAAACACACTTATCTTTAGAAATCATTTATGTAATTACTTTCTATTTATTATGGTACATATTATCCGTGACAATAAAGATGATGGCTACTGTTAGGAAGAGCACTTGCAGGACATATAACTTGCTTCAGCTCTGGGAATAAACATTCCGTGTTTGTTCTATGTCCTGTGGAGCTGCTCAGGACTGCACAGTAGGAAGCTCATGAATAACTTTGAGTTTATTCACAAAAACATGTCTGCTTTTTTGTTTGTGGCAGTCTTAAAGCTAGTGAAAATACTATGTTACAGAATGCATAGCTTAATTACTAGACTACAGTGAGAAACATATGTCAGTTATTACATATGAAGATGTAAAGATGAAGACCTTAAAAACACATAGCTATAAAAATACCACTCAGAGAATCAACGACAGCAAATACTAAGGCAGTCAGGAGTCCCATAGGCCAGTTATACTTGGGAGTTGGTTGACTCTTTAAAACCTTGATCTATGATGTGGGAAGTGTGGGAAATCTGCCATGTGTGTATTCTTCTAATTAAAAAAAAAACTCAATCTGCCTTTTAAGTACTAAAAGACCAAAGAGCTCTTCATGTGTGAGTACAAAATTTAAAGATTTGTTTGAAGGGCTAAATTTCCTGCTCTCCATTTAAAATTGGGGAAAAATAAAAATATTTTGCCTGTGACAGAATATGAAAGAAGTTCTCACCCTTAAAACCAGCAGCATTGGTTTTCCAGTCATTAGCGTTCAAATGTCCCGCACGGGAAGTCCTGACAATAACATGCTGTACGTCTCTCCAGGTCAGAAACGGACTGGGGAAAGACAAGGTAAGAATCATTGTACCAAAAAAAAAAGATGGGGGAAGCAGAGAGTCACAAGCAAATTCAAAAAGCAAAATCAAAATGGCAAAGTACTAAAAACAGGGGACAGAGATGTGTGTTTGGGATAATCCAATGGCAACTGCCACTCCTGCTCTCAGTGCAGAGACATGATGTCAGTCTGTGGGCGTCAGAAAATGTAACTGTAAGAAGAAATGCTATGCTCCAAGTCAGTATGTCAGGACAGCTCAGCGGCCAGATGGTGAGGGTCTCCCATTTCCTCAACAAAATGGCTGCTCGCTACAGAGCTACTGTCTTCTGAGTTAGAGTGCATCTCCAGACACAGCGAAGTCAAAAGAGAAGGCCCTGGACCACCCCTCCTTTAATCGTACTATTAGGCAGTTAATTTGCAGGTTACTTAAGATATAAACATTTCATCTTCTATATCAATATACGTGTAAGATCTGGCTCTACGGTGCGGAGGACAGGAGAAAGTTCTTGCTTTGTTACATGAAGCAACCAGCTCACGACTTCTCAAGGCTGATCACACGGAAGAGCACAAGGCAATGACTGAATAGGCCACACTTGTTTGAGAACTGAAAATGCAATGAAAACAAACCCAAGAACAGTATAACACAGACTGGGTCCCTTTCAAAGAACACAAGTACACAAACAGACACTGGACACAGTGGGAACACGCGTACATTCTTCAGTCTTGAAGTCTGAGATGTGTTGATCTTAAAAAGAAAATTCATTATTTCCTAATTTATCTACCTTTCTCTGTGATCTCAAGTGCTACAGGGTGTGTGTATGTAGGACGACTTTCAGGAATTGGTTCTCTTTCTATACTATGGGTTCTGGGATCAAACTCAGATCATTTTTCACCTTCCACCTTCATTTTAGAAGAATTTGTAGGATTCAACAAACTGGAGAGTGTTCACTTAAGAACTCTGTGGAAGTTACTTGGTTCCCACCTCACACACTCACATCCCAGTGCTGAGGGAGGGAGAACTTACCAACTGTGTCTAATAGTTAATGGTGACACCATTGTTTTGCTTCTAGCTACTTTTTGTTCCAGTCACAGCTACTATATATGCAATTTGATCAGATCCCTGCCGCCCAAGAAATAAGTCACATAGTAATCAGACTACAGCTCTTTCCTTTTCTATGTGAAATTAATCTCTACAAAGAATTAATTTCCTCAGTTAGACTGTAGATGCCACTAATCAGTTAAAGTAATGCTAACTACTCCATGTGAAGCCTCATGTACAGCAAGCTCTTGGGAGGAGGAGACAGCTTGTCATTTTATTCAGGTAACCTGTTGCTCTTATTTGGTAGTCTGAATATCAAGAGAGCAGGGAAAGACAAGGACTATTGAGTCTTGGTACCTTTTCCTCATCCTCTCTGCCTGAAAATGACCTGAGAGCTAGCACTGTCACTGTCACGTTTTCAGAGGCTAAGACCAGAACGACCTTTTTAAAGGTTACGTTAATGAAAGGGCTTATGTTTAGAAAAGTAGAACCTTGCTAGGTGGGCTTTAAAACTGTGGGGATGATGGAGACAGATTCTTCATTCTGTTTGAATATGACACTCTTTAGGAATTATTTTAGAAAGTTGTGAGGCATGAAACTGGGCATTAGTGGAGCACGCTTTTAATCCCAGCACTCGGGAGGCAGAGGCAGGTGGATCTCTGTGAGTTCGAGACCAAGCCTGGTCTACCGAGCAAGTTCCAGGACAGGCTCCAAAACAATACAGAGAAACCCTGTCTCGAAAAACCAAAAAAAAAAAAAAAAAAAAAGGGAGCGAGGTGTGCTGTGGCCCCCCCACCCTGAGGAAGGGAAACTCTGCTTCTACAGCAAATGGTTTGATTTGGTCCTTTACTGCCTTCCACTGAATTCACATATTTCAGAAGACTTGGTGCAGAGCTGTCAGGGATGTGTGGAAACCCACTCTGAACGCCGTTCTCAACATAGATGCTCTGCTTTGCCTGAGATACAATGCTCACAGTGCACTTCCTTCTTGGTGTGCCTGCTTAGGACCAGGGCAAAAGCTTCAACAAAAGGCCCAATTTGGACAGACATTCCAGCTACTCACTTATGGTTTTCCATAGTGTTCCCAAAATGAACAGAGACATTTTTATTTTTTTTCTTGTATAAACAGCGTAACAACGAAAAGTATACATGGGTTTGATGATGGTATCTACCTAAACCAACCTAGCAATTTAACGATAATTCTAAGTTGTCTTTACCACACAGTTAGAACTTCTGTATTTTAAATATTAATCATTAGGAAAACAGGATAGAAGTGAGTTTTCTATGTTCCCAGCAAGACTCAGAAAAACTCAGCATAGGATTCTGAACACTGGGAAACACACATTTATGTTTAGTTCACTAAGTGCTAAGATATAAAAGTCATCCAATGTGGAACACTTATCTTGTACCTGAAGCAGCTGTGCTCTGGCAGATGGAGGAAGTCTCCTGCATTCAACTCAACCCGAAGAAATTGCTTGAGTTACTTGCTCTCATGTTGAGTTACAAAAACTAGTTTCTGGAACATTTGTAATTAGAAAACCCAGCATCAGAAAATTGGAAAGAATGAGGTAGCTGGACAATTTTACTTTGACACCTGGTGATTCATGTATCAAAATATACAAATAAGAAAATAAGAGTCATCAATGGATTTGGAATAAGCGGCATTCTGCCTGTGTCAAGACAACTAACTAATGAGCTCAGGAAACAATGGCAGCTTAACCGAGGTAGACGGTAGACTGTAGTCACTGGAAGTATAGATGGTAGACTGTTGTCATTGGAAGTACAGAAAGTAGACTCCAGTAACTGAAAGTACTTGAAGGATTCTTGACTATACAGATACCTGATCTGTATTTTCATATTCTCACTTATGGTCACAGGGCTGATGTACAGGTGAAAACCATGTCAGACTATCAAAGACTTGGTAAGAGAACATTCTGATGCCCACAAACAGCGAAATCTGAGTATGCTTCCCAGGGAAAGCCTCAGGCACAATAGCAACACAGGATCTCTTAGAAATCACATCCTTCCCTAAATGTGATCGGTCTAGATTCCTTTGGCCTCAAAACCCAAAATATCTCATTCTCAAAAGCAGACAGATTGAGCGTAACTGGAAGAGGGAGGGCAGGTGTCTAGCTGACCGAAAGAGAGGAGATGGCTCATGTTAGCTTGCTAGTCACCCCCTCTAACAGCTACAGTGGCTACTTCCTGTGATCACAACTAGTTACATTTAAATAATATACAGAAAAAGTAGTTCCCTGTGATCTTTCAAAGTGCTGAAATGTATCTAACTTCCTGAGCAGTTCTGCAAAAGTCATGTTTCTCACTTGAGAAGTTTTTCATCTTTGCTTGACCTTGTAATAACAAACAGCATTGACAGAGTACTGGCTAAGACCAGGCACTGTGTGCTATGTACATGATATTGTTGTGTTATATTAAGATTCACATGGGGAGATTCACTTTAGCATTTTTCCCCAAATATAAAACTAAGAATCTAAGTTGCATAGTCATGCAAAGACACAGAGGTGACAAAGGCAGAGCCAGAAACCAAAGCTCTAGGTTTTGTCTGTAACACTCATCTCATCATTCAGTAGATAAAGTGGCTTCCAGAACAGATCCGTAGGCTGCTGGAAGGATGGATATATTCTGAATTCTGAGGTTGTTCTTACATGTTCTGAATTAAGAAACCAAACCTCTCAGGTCATGGTCTTATAGTCATGTGACCTTTGTGTACATGCTGTCTCAACTCAATTGGCTTTTGTTCACTATCATATTAAGTAAATTCTTGAGTCTTAATCTTATTTGCAAATTCATAAAGATCTTTTAGACATCTTTCAAATACCAAGAGAAAAATTCCATACCAGATAATTCAAGTCTTTTAAATATACTTCACATTTACATGATATAACATTATTATATAATCTTATAACATTATTGCTGTGAATTGGTCACCTCCCTTGCAAGATCTCACTTTGATGTGCCTCATAGCCTGGTTTGTTAATCTCCTCAGTGGACCAGCTCAATCTGCCCCCAAGCATCACTAGTTTCCAGCCATTAATGCAGGACAATGACTCTATGGCTACTGAAGGCTCATGCAATGTTCCTTTTACCGGCAGTTCAAAGTTTTTAATGAGCTCACTATGAGATTAAGAATAAGCAGAACATGTCCCAAGTGAGTTATTTTTGTGTAGTGCTTCTTATTAAGCTTTTAAGTATAATTGCTAGCACTTACATTAGGGGAAAAAGTCACTTGCCAAGAATTCTTGAAAATAATTCTCAGATGTGTGAGTGTTGGAAACAAACTTGCATTTAGTGATTCTTCAAACAGGGTCCAAAATGAATCCTGAGCCACCGGCTCACCTGCACTTTTTTCAAGAGAAAAAGAGCCTCTTATTCACCACAAAAGATCTACCACCACCACCACCACCACCATCCATCCATCACAATCATATTCATAGTCTTCATCCTTAGTTCCTAGGTAAGTGGCAAAAGGGACAAGACACTTCTCCACAGAAGAAACTTATCAACAAGAAAAAACAAAGTCAGAGAATGAGAGTAGCTTCTGAAAGGATCATCTTTCTCGAGTCAAAGTGATTCTCTCTAATGAAATGAAAAGGTACCACCTGGCTCAATGGACAACTGCAGGGCTAATCACCAATCATCCAACTGTCTCAGTAATAAAACCAACGAAAGCACACTCAGGTTCCTTACATTAGTGTGCATGAAGCAGAAATGGGAACAAGCAGCCAGGAAATTAATGTCATTGTACCTATACTTAAGATATTAGTAACTGTGAGAATGGGTTTATTTGAGCCAGATTATGAAAGATGAGGAAGTATGTGTTTAAAGCCTGCTGAGAAGGGTAATAGCATTACTTCGACCACAGTCACTGTGTACAAACAATGACAGAAGATACAGTAAAGGCAACCTGTCATGACCCAGAAAGGGTGCCAGGCCCTCCACCTC